GGGAGCCGGCGCGGGTCCAGCTGCCCCGTCGTGCGAGGAGAAGGGGGGTGCTTTCGCCCTGGGTACAGCCCCCCGCCTTGTCGCCTTGCAGAGCTGGACCTGAATACCAAGTGCATCGTGGAGATGGAAGGGAACCAGACTGTACTTCACCCTCCGCCTTCCAACACCAAGCAGGGAGAAAGGTAAAAACCCAAGTCGCCGTGCCCCAAATAAAGACCCAGCCCCGGTTCCTCTGCCTCACCCTCGCAGACGCTTCGCCTGGCTTTGTTCGGGGAGCGGTGGGGTCCTGAAGTTCTTGCTCGGTGCCTTTCAGGGGGAGCAGGCAGGGGGAAGCGGGCAAGGGTGAGCCCCAACCAGGGATTGCTGCGTTGGGCTTGCATCCTGGGATGCAGGGACCAGACCTTGTCTCCTGGCTTCCTGAGTGGAGTTGGAGGTACCCAAATTGGGATGTGGAGACAGGAGATCCCTATTGGCCTCCCAGGTTTAAAAGCTGATTCTTGGTTAACTGCTCAAAAAATAAGCTGTTGATTAGGTAAGGGCTTAAACTGACCGTGCGTGCTGCTTTCAGAAATTTCCCTTGAGTGCAGGCTGCTAATAACTTGATGTAACCTTTGGGGGAACACGAAGCAGAATCTGAATTTTATGCTAGCGATGGTATTTTTTTTTTTAAGTTTGTTTACTAGGTTTTAGCGTATTTGCATTTGAAAAGGCTGTAATTGCTAGATCCTTTATTAATTCAGTGTTGTTCTGTGAAGTAGCCTATGAGAATATGCTAAAATAATTTTGAAATCTGGCATTTAGTTGTGATGCCCCAGTAAAGAATACCCTTGGAAATAATCCAAAATACCAATGCACTAGACTGTAAAAATAGATCAGAACAGGAAAAGATTTCTTTCCTTTGAGGGAGTGTGGGGAGAGACAGAGGAGGTGCAAAGGGAATAGTTACGTTGTATGCCTATCTCTTCAGTTACCTGTTGACTGTTCAACTTAAGTTGATCTGTTAAATGTATTTAATGACAAGGAGCGTGAAATCATTTGCATGGTTATAGCGATTTTAATCTGAACACGTTCCTACCACTCAAGGTTTTAAGAATGTTTTTGATCGAGTTCATAGAAGTTATGAAGAAACTGTAGTGTGAGAATATGTGGGGTTTTTTTCAAAGGTGGTATGTCATGCTTTTATAGTTTTCCAGCAGATAAGGTTGAGACCTTTTCTATTTTCACATGTCCAAGATTTGAAGGTGCTTCTCACATTAACCCACATACTGAAATATAGCTGTAATCACACCAGTTTAACTTAAATCCAACTTGCATTGTCTTCAGAACCATTGTTGTGGCTAATGTGCTGGCCTGGGTCTTTAAAGATCTGCGCTTGTTTCCTGCCCCTTTCACAGATCTTTGTGTGATCTACAAGTCGTGCTGCCTCTGTGGGTCTTAGCATCCCATCTGTAAAATGGAAATCTTGTTTTTCTTGAGACTATTCTACTTTAGAAAGCATGGGGTTTTTTCCTCCTGTTTACTGAAGCGTATATATGGCCTCTATCGCAACACTGCTATAATAAGAATAATGTTAACTCTTTAAAGAGAGTGGATTTGACAGGTATAAAACATGAAATACAAACAGAGTTTACAAAGCAAGAACAGAATTAAGATTTAAAAATCATTATTTCAATAGACTAAAGAGTCTAAGGGCCAGATGGTTTAATAAAGAGCCTGTAATGTATGAATTTTGCTTGTTGTGCACTTCGGCCTGCAGGTATTCAGTGAGACTGTGCAGTGACCCTCTGTCTTCTGAGAGCTTGTGTGGCTTGTGTTTATCTGGCTTTAATACCTGTAATATATATAAATTCTCTTACTTGGTTGGAATTGGCTTCTGGTTCTGCGCCAAGAGCCTTACAGGTGAGCTGTGACACTTGTGTGCGACCTCACCATTGGCAGGTGATAGCTGTTCTGCTTGCAGCCCAGCGTGAGGCTGGAATTTGGCAGGCTGTGCCAAATGTGTGACTTAGGCGTTTGAAGCAACTGCCTGATGTGAGTGGATTGGAAATATCAGTGAGAAATACTGATCAGAAGTAACTCTCACTAGTGCAAACATATAGTTTGGGTACTTTCTAAGTGGCAGATGTTGTATGTAACCTGTTGAGATGCCTAATAGACTTTCCGGTGCCTTGTGAAGATCCTTAAATTTTCTTAAGTGATAAACTGTTGATTTCTATTTTTTACTCAAGATAAATAGTTTAATTTCTCGTGACGAAGAATGAATTCTGTTCTTCTATGTGTACCCGCCATAAAATGTCTGTGTAAGCTGGCTCTGAATTGCTGAGTAGTTGCTGCTTGTACTTGGATTGATGCCTTGGCAGGGTTAGAGGTGTCAAATGGATTTTTGGTTTTCTTTGTGTAGCTTGTTTTTATATAGCTTAACTGGATTTTTCTTTAGAAAAATTGTCATTGCAAAAATGATTACACTTGTTAGGGTGATTAAGTGGTCTGTCTTTATTTTATTGCATTATTTTAATATTCTGTTTAATCTTACCTTTCCTTTTTTACATTTTATCTTTTTATATGGAAATTTCCCTTTTCTAGCTGAATGGAAGTAGAAGTTTGTACTGCACTTCGGAATAAGAATAAGTAGCCTTCTAAAGCAAATTTGGTTTCTAGGGCTACTTTTCTTAATTGAGCTGAGGCCAAGAGACTATAGGGTGTGGGGGAGTGGGAGTGGAATTCAGGACCGTGCTTTTTATTTGCCTTGTTCACTCGGTTATAATTTTAAAGGTATTGACAGAATTTTCTGAAGTAAAATTAGATAACTCTTTAATTATTATAATATTATAAGATTTGTTCTTGGAAGAATATCCAAGGTTAGGAAAATCAGATTTTACTAGCTTTGCCTATTCTGTATGGAGTTTTTGAATTAAATCTAAGTTCAGATGCATGCTGTTAATCAATCTCTAGGTTTTATTAAGGATATTTCTGAAGCATTTTAGATGGGCAAGTAATGATAGTTTTACAAGTGGTGGAAAAAAGCCTAAAAACTCTGGCAGTGCTGTCATTTGTCCAACTTCCAGTATTGTATTAGAGGTAAAGCAGTAAGTTATAACCATAAATTAGAACAGGGTTCTGGCTCCATCTTCTAACTACTAGACCACACAGCACACACACCTTAAGAAACACAGCTACAAAATAGTAATTGTTATTAAATACAAGTGTTCTGTCTTTTTATAAAGCAGCAGGCATGCCGTTCCCCACAGACACAGGACTTTCAGCATTCTAAACTAACAAAGGAGGAAAACCAGAATATAGTAAAACTGAACAGTCCAAGTCTGAAAGGCACAGGAAAATCTTTGAAATAATAGGAGACAGAGTTCAGAAAGGAATGGTTTTCATTAGCTGGTATCAGGTATAATCTCCGGTGCTGGCAAAGTTTTTGTAAGTTGGTTGTTGGACTTCATACCTTTAACCCTTGTTTTACTATTATTAGTAGCAGTAGCTTCTTTTATATCTGCCTAAGTGTGCTTGTGTGTCGTTTTAGTTACCTCTCCTGTCTCTCATTCATTTCCTCCCCAAAACCAATATAGATTTCCCTTTCTTTCCCAGAAGACCATCTTTTCTTTCTGGGAACCCTCTGATTTTTTTCTGTCTTCACCTGGGAATCTGAATTTCCTTTCTCAAAGTACACTCTTCCTGAAAAAATTGTTCTAACTTACAGTCTTTTAGAAATGGGTGTTACGTTTCAAAGCCAATTGTACACATCCTGCTGTCTTGCTATAAATGTTTGTATTTGGTCCTTGGCAATAAGGTACAGTGTTAAAATGTAACTATGAGATAATTAGAGTATGGAGTTACAGAAAATCTTTCAAAATATTTTGAGTAATATTTTACAATGGAAATTTCACACCCCTCTCTAGGTTTATGAAAGATTTGACTTCATGTTAACGATGTTATTTTTTTAGTAGGACAAACGAGGTTTTGCTGGGTTCCTCCTCTGCTTTTGATTGTTAAAATATGCTTTCCTCCAACCTTTCCTTTCAGCTACACTTTTTAATGCATAGGATCTGAAAAGAAAAGTTTTATTTTACTTCCCTGACAACAGTTCTTCATGACCTGATTTTTCGTTTAGTAAGCAAAATATTTGTCTTGACAGAAATAAACAAGGAACTATGGAGACAGTAGAACTGAAATACTATTTCAACTGTAGTTTTGACTGCAACAAAAATTTGTCTATTGGGCAATTTATTCCATTAGAGCACAGTAGTCTTGTGCAAACTTTGCCTTATTAAAAGTCTCGCGGCAGAAAATAAGAAATAATCAGTGTGTGGAGCTGAACTTAAAATGACGACTTTTCTCCGAAAGTATCTTTCTTGCCTGGCTTAATTCTTTTTTTAAAAAACATTTTACAACTTTCTTGTTCTGTCTTTTCCATCCTCATTTTGATAATAGGCAAGTAGCACCAAGGCCCAATTCTACTTAGGTAAAACTCTTCCTATAGCTCTAAATTACTAAAGACTCCAGAATAGATGGGGGCTTTTTTGAGTAGGTTTAAGGTCTTTAATAAAATAAATAGCTAGGAACAGATGCTTGTGTGTGTGTATGTGTCTGTCTAGTTTTGGTATGTCATGATGCTTTCAAAGACAAATATCTGAAGCACAGATTTCATCCCTAGGCAGCTTGTCCTAAAACTCTTGTTTCCAGAAAACAGCTGTTGCTCCCCCCTGCCTTGGAGAAAACATGATTTTGGATGGTTTTTACTACATAGTCCTTCATGTGGGGGTTGTGGCACTCTATCTTTTTTGATATGTTGCTTTGAATAGCATCAGAGATGGGAGAAGAGCGCTGTTGTAGGGAGAAGACATGCGTTTCTGGTAATGGTCACTTTTTCAAACTGAAACTTGTGGAAGCTGAAGTAGGACAGCTGCTAATTATTTCCATATCTGAAGGAATGATCAACGAGATCATGTCTTTGATGCATATACTTCAAATTATCACCTGTCTGAGGTAGATCATAAAGTAATAGCAGGCAGCAACTTTTATCTTTGTCGGCAGGAAATTGTAAAAGTAATCTGACTTTGACCTCTTCTGTTAACTTTCCTGTTAGACATCAATGTTCAGGATGTGAAGTGGTAGCTTTGAACCTTTGCAGAAGAGGTGTATTTGAATTACGAAATGTGTGGTTGGAAAATGGCAT